CATTGGTGTCCCCTGCAACCTGGCACATATAAGCTGAGCACTGGAGAAGAGCAAAGACACTCTGCTGATACGCTGAAGGTGGTAAGTATGGCTTATCTACTACCAAACACACTGCTTTTCTTATGGCAGACTGCATGGGAGCCTTGCCTGCTAACCAGGTAACTTTGTTGTTGGGAAAAGGCTTGAAAAGAGGAGGAATCTGGTAGCCTCTGCTTCTCAGCCTGTTCAAAGGTTGGCTGAGCATGTGAGTGTCTGTGCTTTCAGCAATATCTGAATAAATCTGATAATTGGGGATGTTCTGGCTTTATGCTACAAGGTTGGTTGGGAGGTGGAGAGGGTTGCCTGGAGAGCTTGTGAGGTCTCCATCCTTGGAGGTTTTCAAGGCCCAAGGGGACAAAGCCCTGCCAACCTGGTCTGAACTTAGTGACCAGCTTTGAGCAGGAGGCTGCTCTGGGGACCTCCCAAAGTCCCTGCCAGCCTGGGTCACACTGTGATTCTGTTAAACTGATGGTGCATTTGTCTTGCTTAGTGACAGCAATATAATTTCCTTAAAATAAAGTTAGAAAATGACATTTTGCTTTGAATGGGGCAAGTCTGCATGTAACTCGCTCTGCCCTGCTGAGTTTGTCTTATTTTCCCTCAGTCTACTTAATAAGTGTCTTGGTTTTCTTCCTTTTGAAGTTATCAGTGCAGTCTGATAACCTTATGAATGTCATCTCCTATCTGCAAAGTACTCTATAAACGTTAGCCTATGCTCCTTGTCATGTGTTTGCAGCCAGCGGCAGCAGCTGCAGAATTGCATGTTACCACACCCGCTCCCTTGGCTGGCCTCCCAGCTCCAGTGGAGATTTCCATTCATCCTTTGTCCAGCCTGTGCCACCTCAAGCTTCTCTACTTAGAAGAGAGTAACAGGGCCATTGCAGGACACCTACGATCAGTCAGATGTATTTGATGGCGGATCCAATGACAGCTGAAGCTTCAGTTAGGGGTTAGGAGGAGTATTGGGACATAGATAAGAGTTTTGGTGATCAAGAGAGGATGTATATTTGTTGTATGATATAAGCTGACTTAAAACTGCACTGGGGGCAGTGTGGGGTGATGTTTGTGCTGGACATAGCTCCTCTTAGCCATCCTTGGCTGCAGTCAGGCTGTCCACAGTGGCCCCATGCCCCTTTCTGCCCACACTTCCCACCCAGCCTGCCTGTTTTTGGGATGTGACTGCTGAGACCATCAGCAGCCATTGTTGTGTCAAGGCCTCCAAAAGATGGGAAGGTCAGATTCTTCCCATCCTTTGGTACAGTTTTCAGGTTGTGTGTCATCTTACATAGACAGTATTGGGGTTCCTACACTTCAGGCAATTTTTAACGTTACCTGCAAAATCATTGTGGTTTTAGGTATAACTTCATTTAAATATGTTATAAGTTTATAATTCATTTATATATCCAGATGCTGGGCACAGCGATGCAGAGATTTTAGAGTGATTCGTAACTGGAAGGACACCTGTGCAGTCCTGCAGCACCATGCCAGGAATTAACCAGCCCTTGAGGAGATACATGAGAAATCCTCTAACGGAGAGGAATGTAGACATTGACCTAGTCATGGGCTAGGTCTTGTTTCTTTGTTGTCTGGGCATCTAGAAAATATGTCTGTATCCATTTTGGGTGAGTGAACAGATGAAAACCCCATTCTTGTCATTTTTTTATGTTAAATGGTGAGGGAACTGAACACAATGAGCAGAACACAACCTTACTTTAGGAGGTGGAAAGCCAGTAATGCTTTTCCCTCCATGACCAGCCAGCTCACCACGGCCTGCTGCCTCCAATGCTTGGCTTTAGGGCTGGGTTGGCTGCTCCTGGAAGGGGTGACACTGGGGCCTGTGGCACTTCTTGGCAGAGAGGGAGGTGCTTGGGTGCTGCCGTTCCCAGGCTGGGAACAAGGGGCATTGGGGCACCCCTGAGACCCCCAGAAGGTCTTCTGCCTTCACCCAGGGCTTGGCAGGCAGCTGTCCCCACAGCTCAATGCATAGTGTTGGCTCCCCACATGCTCAGGTGAAACGCGAAGTGGCTCTGGGGACACCACCCTAAAGTGTGGGTGCAAACTCCAGTGTGGAGCAGGGCTGGTGACACTGGGCCCTTTCCAGCAATCCCTGTAGGTTGATGTTGCTCCCACAGCTGCCCCACGGGGAAAGATGGGGCACTGGCAGCATGCCCACACAGTTAGGGCTGGAGGGGAGAGGAGACTTGTGTGGGGCCCCGCAGCCAATGCCAGCCTCCCTCAGGGCCGGCACCCACCAGGGCAGGGAGCCAGATGCTGGCAAAGAGGGAAAAAAAACCAGTGAAAAGCAGCCCTAATAATTTCAGCCCCCTGCCTCTCCTCTTTTTCCACCCCACTGTAAAATGGTGGAGATGGGCACTTCCAGCAAAAAAAAAAAGGAAAAAAATACTCGGAAAATCCAGTTTGCCAGCATTTTGGTTGGTAACTGGTGACCTCAGTTGTGAAAGTGTGCTAGCTGCCTCTGATACACTGCAGCTTATCTCTTCTTTACCCACGAGTGACTTTTGCTCCTTCCCAGTTAATTCATTAGGTAAACAAGGATTTGCTTGGGGAGACACACTCAAGGCCAACACAGATCCTTGGCTTGCAAGGAACGTAAATTTTTTTTTTCCCTTTTAATTCTCCCAAGAAGCAACAGGTTTGGCAGTGGTAGGGAAGAGCGCTGAGCAGCAAAGTTTGCTGGAAGCGTTTTTGTGAGCTGCAGGGTCCAAGCCTTTTTGGCATCACTGCCCTGCACCCTCATGGTCTCTCACTGCTTTGTGGGGCTGGGTAGGTATCTCCAGAGGAGAAAAGGCGGCTCAGCACCTGACAGGGAGGCAACCCCATGTCCCCTGCTTGCTGTCCTGCTTCAAGCTTCAGTCGTGGGGCCAGGTGGTGACATGAGGTGGTTGACCTCCATCTTCAAGATGCCCAAGTGCTTTTGGCTGAGAAGAACGCTCAGCTGCACTCTGTGGGCTGTTTCAGCCCTCTGCTATGGCTAGAGTAATGATGCGGTGTTTTTCTGTTTCAGGGACAGCCCAAAACACAGGTGTTGAATCGCAGCCTCATCTTCCCGGCCAGTGGGAAAACCGCCAGGAAGGCACAGCGCCAACCTCAGGTAGTCCTGCTGAGCTGCTCTGAAGAGTCTCCTGCCAAGTGGGTAAAACGAGCAAGCCAGCAGGAGGAGGATGGCAGAAATGGTAATTAAGGCTGCCCTCGGGCTCACATGTCGAGCCACCAATTAATTAGATAATCAGGGTCAGACATAACAGCGTGCAGGCTGCTTGCCTGGCTGCTGTGAGTCAGCTGGGCTTCGCAGGCGCTGCAGGCAGTGCGGGTGTCAAGGAGGGGCAGAGTGGTGGCTTTATGGCCTGGGATGAAGATGATGCTCTGCAGACCTGCTGGCCTCTGCTATCTGTGCTGTACATGTTGGCTCCAGCATCTTCTTGTCAGCAGCCTGAATTCCCTCCCCAGGGCAGAGCTAGAGTGGGCTTCCCACATCCCCTCCCCTCCATGTGGCAGCAGGTCTGGCCCTTCTGTGGGCAGTCCTCTGCGTTTAGAAAATGAGCTATTTCCCCTGTGTCGCTGGTTTGGTTTCATATTAAATCTTTGTTCTCAATCTGAAGTGACCTTGAAAATTTCTACTACAGTAAAGTTAACAAGAACATTACGCTTGCTTTAATTGCAAAATACACCAGCACAGAGATCTAGGAAGATAGGGTTGGCTATGGTACAACAAGCAGGTTAATGCCAACTTTCATCGTCAATTGAAGGAAGACACAAGTCTCCAACCATGACCCTACTGAGCTGCAAGGTCCCTTTATTCAACAAAGGCTGAATCATGGCAAATTTATTCTGTGAACAAGCCAGAAAAGAAACTTCCAGTTACCAGAATCATGTGTCTTTTCTCCATATGGCTGGATTCCTTAGCACAAAAGGGTGACTGATGAATAGCAAAGGGTCACACCAAAGCTCCATGTAACCCTTGTTTCTCCTACTGGTCAGTAGCAGATGCTAAGAATAAACTATAAAACCAGACTCCTCTTTTTCTCTGTATATGTACCAATGATACAGAGAAACCAGCACAGCAAATCACCATGTTCATAGAGTGCAGGTATCACTAGGGTCAGTGTGTTTAAGAGCTGCTAATGAACTCGATCTTTGCCAATTTGTGTAATTCTTTTTCTGGTTCCACTTTAACCTGCTCTGCTCCTATTGTTGTTCCTCATAATTTCATTTTGCCTTATTATTTGATGCTGAGAAACAAAAAAGTGTTTTTCAGTCACCTTTTCCATGTCACCCAGGATTTACAGCCCGCTCTAACCACCAGCCACCTGTCTCATTTCCAGTCTGATGAATCTTCTTCCTCTATCTACGCTGTTTTACTGTGGAACTTGCTCTGTGCACCTAAGCACCTTTGCTGTCCTTCTCTGACATTTTGGTTCTACTGATTCTTTTTTTTTTCTCTCTTAATACACTCAGATGCCAGAGTAGAGGTGTCCTCTGGCCCTTTGAAGCCCATTACCACCATATGAGTATTTTGCTGGGTAGACTTAACTGCAGTTTCTTCATTGCTAAGATGAAAAATACTGCTCTTGGCCAAACAACTAAATACTGCTCTTGACCAAATAACTAACTACAGAGCACCAAATTTTCTAGTGGAGGGGATGCTTCAATGTACATTAGAGCCAGGGAAGATTTACTGGAGATGGTGGCCAGATGATAGTTAGCCATGTACGTGGTCTAGTATATGATGCTGAAAGAGCAGTTTTATGCATCTGTAGAACCAGGTTTTTGAAATGCTGGTGGGGATGCCCCATGCAGGCTGGCCACCCTGCCTTCACATCCAAGTGTCACTTCTTGCCTTCAGAAATTATTACCCAGACACCTGCCTGCCCGCTTTTCCTCCCAGGCGACTGCGGGTCTCTATTTCCACAACACAGGAGCTGACCAAGACGTGCCCGCTCATGAACGGCAGCTGGGTGGGAAGTCAGGAAAGCGAAGCTGACACCACGTGGATCCTTCCCAACTTGCCCAGTAAGTGCACATGGACAGCCACAACGCCTGCTGCCAAGTCACCACACTCCTGTATGCCCTTGTAAGTAGTTATTTCATGCTGTTTTTTTCAGAGCACAGACAGCTCAGTATCTTGTTCTGAAGATGAAGTATTATTGTTACATCAGGATGGTCATGACCAGAAGTCAGTAGTTTTGCAATACGTTACGTTAATGATAGTTTATTTTCCAGAAGGTAAAATCCACCTAATATCTCTGGTCCAGGAAGAACTTTCTCACTCCCTTTAATCTTGTGGAAAGACATGGCTGACTTGAGTCTCAGCTCTGTGTTTTCCAGCACATATTTGAAAGCATCTGCTAGATTGGGGCATCTCATTTTAGAAGAATTAAGATGAAAATATTTTACAGGTAGATTTCAACCAAGGACTTGTACACTTCTGCAGAGTGGGCTCCATGAGGCCTGGTGTTGCACAGCAGAAGTGAAGGTGCTCCCAGCCGCTAGGTGCTTTAGGAGATGCAGTAATGGCTTTCCTGGCTGTAATGTAACACATGTGTACACCCCAAAGCTGTTGCACCCATCCCATTATACAGCACAGGCAGTAGCAGCCATGTAGCTATCAGTTGAGGGGCTGCAGTTTGGCCGCCCTTGTTCATTCAAGCAGTCTGAAGCTGTATAAAACAGTTTCAAAGTACCAGGTGAGTACCTTCACGATGGCTAAGATACCTTCACAGTGGAATACCAGGGCCTGAGGTTTTAAATAAGCAGAAAATGGCCCACACAGAGGTTGCCCATTCTGCATAAACAACCCAAAAGCACAGTGCAAGGCAAAGTGATTGCTATGAACAGTTCTTGCCCTCCCGGCAGCGCGTTTCCTCCCAGGGTGAGATAAGCCTGCCAAAGTGCCTGGACTAGACTAGACAAGAGGTGCTTTAATGGCCTGGCAAACCAGACCCAGACAAGCTATTTAAGATAAGGCTGTCCTATAAATGTCAGGGGAACTGCGTACACGTCCCTGCCATGCCAGAGATGTAAAACATGAATTCAACTCTGGCATGTGAGGACCTGGAGCCCGAGGGAGGTGCGGTACAGCTCTGCGTGGATGCCTGTCAGCCGGGAGCTGGCTGTGGGAGCTTTGTAGGGCATGCCAGGCAGGACAGGGCCAGAACACCGCCACCCCCAGGCATGAAGCCCAAAACAGCCTCCAGGCCTGGCCCATGAAGGAGGAGTGGGCTCCATAGCCTCAGGGCTGATTCAGCAAACGTGCATCCAGACACTCACCCAGTGCAATCCCTGCAGCTAGCACCCAAGGACAGGATCAGATCTTTTCAGTCAAAATGTAATTTTTTTTCTCAGTTGCCATGCTGAGCAGGATAGCATACATGGTTTTTAGCACATTAGCATCATGGTGCCCTGGGCAGCAAGGTGAGGCTGGTGCCAGGGCCCATCTCACTCCCTGGGCAGGAGATGGGCAGCCAGAGCAGGCACCAGGGCAGCCCCAAGCATTGGGCACCTTCCTGGGGATGGGGTCAGGCTGAGGGGGCCCATTAAGCACTGCTGAGGCAAGGACTGAGACATAACCCACTGTATAGCAGTGAAGAAATACGGTGTGACACGCCATACCTTTTCCTTTGCAGAAGTGCATGGAGGGTGTTGGTTTGTTTTCTCTGCTTTGTGTAAACTACAGGTGGCAGCCAATGTAGCAAAAATCTTGAGACTTTCTGAGATTCCCTTGTGAAATCTGATTGAGTTTTGAGGGTAGAAGCAGAGGATGGGGGGCAAAGGGAGGAGAACACAAGATGTTATTTTAATTAAGAATATTACTTATTTAAATTTTTCCAAAGATGCAGAGATAGACTAGTTCTGCTATCTTGTGAGCCAGTTCTGACCCTCTATACCCTCAGCAAGAATCACTTGGTTTGCCAGGACTGTTTTTCCCTGGACACCTTATGGAATAACATGCCATTAGCAAAAGGAGAAATCCTGGAGAAAAACCATCGTTGTCCACCATGATCCTGGATCGGTATCAGCAGCTGCATGACCAGTGTGTCCCCGCCACATCCTTTAGCAATACCAAAGGTGTTTGCCACAGATTTTTGTATCCATAGACTCACCTTCAGACCCACACACAGTGTTCACGCAGCTGGGGAAGGAAGCTGACTGTGCTCCTATTATTTTTGTGGCAAAATATGGTAGCAATTAGGAAAGGAATTTGATAGCAACTGTGGAAAACGTGCCCCAGGGTGAGAGAAAGGCTGTTCTTTCTACACGATGGTAGCTGGTTGCAAATGCAAAAGAGCAGACTGGTTTCTGGTTCCCACCTTCACCCTCCCAGCAAGGCTTGCCCCCTTACCCGACCCCTTGCCAGGCTCCACCACCACAGATTCCAGAGCCACACAGCACCTCACTGTGCCACATCCCACCTTGCTGGGGTTGAAAGAGGATGATAGCATCTCATTTACAATCATTACTGGCAAAAGGTAAATAACTGCTATTGCTTTCTTTTCTCAAGATGACTTTCTGCAATCTAGACAGGCAATGCAAGCCAGGCTTTAGTTAAACACTGCCTGAAGGAGCTGGAGTCTCCTTTTATCATGGCTCAGCCCCACTGAAATCCTTGAGTGTTTTGGTGGCTTTCAGAGCAGATGGAAAATGGCTGCAGCTGTGGGAGAAGCTCGTTTATTGAGTTACTGCCTCACATTTACCAGCACTCAATAGAGGTTGTAATGTGTGCAGTAACACTTTCCATGGAGGGAAGAGGTAACAGGACGCGTGTAATACTTCTTCATTTCTGGGCCTGAGATGTATGGAGGCTGGCTCCTGGTGGTAGTAAAGCCCTGCACTAAACCATTACCCCTGTACTCTTGCAGAGCAAGAAGTGTTTATAACATGTTTGCAAAAGCTGGAGGGAGGTGTGTGTGTCTTTAAGTAAATCAGCATGTCATCCCCACACCATATGGACTTTCTGTCAGCAGACAGCCATCTGCCTGACTATGATAGCAGACAAGGATAACTTGAGTTCAAGGTTCAAAGGATGATAGTAGGTGAGAGCTGTGCAAAGGAGACCTGAACAGCAAAGGAGTGCAGCTTTGTCACCCCACTCAGAGAGAGATGTGCTGGCTATCAGCTAGAGGCAATAACATTTGTGGCCCCAGTGATCTTTTAGTCAATCTTTTTTCTCCATCTTTCAAAACGTTCAAGGACATGAGTTCCCTGGCTGCATGGCAAGAGGCATTTGGTTGCGCGTTGGGCAAACAAGTCTTTCTCATTCTGGTTGCAATTGCTGTGACATGGCTCTTGGCTTCTGATGGAGTCTGACAGAGACTTGCAAAACCGGGAGGCTGCATTGCATTGACCCAAGAGCTCAGTTTAATCATTTGCAAAAAAATCCCCTCCAGAGTCCCCTGTGGCTTGGGCTTTTCTAATGGCTTGGAGCCGTCGTTGCAAGTCTGGGAGTCCCGGTCAAGCAAGCAACAGCTGGCCCAGAGATATCTGAAAATGTGAAAAGCAGAGGTGGTGCTGGGTAACACTGTATTGTACATGGCCTTCTGGCTTTCTCACCCACTATGTAAAATCTCAAGGCTTGTCAGCTCTACTCACTTCACTTAGTTATAGGTCTGGCCTTCCAGAACAAAGTATTTCAGAACAGCCCTGAAAATTAATTACCTCATTTTTTAATGCAGAAGAGTTAATAAGTCATTGTAAGACTCATGAAAAACTGTAACTAGCTCCTGTTGTCATTAATTGTCAATAGGGACCTTTTCTCTTGGAGTTGGGGTGTCTCTGGGTGGCCTTGCTAAACTTGCTGAAACCTCACTCAGATTTTTATCTTGATTCATGTTGCATAACAATTACTTTGATTTGACATGTTTCTTTTTTTCCTGCGTTATTTCAGGACAGAAGAAAAAAAGATCTTGCCCAACATCCTGAAGAAAATTGGCTGGACCCCAATGGTCCAAGTCAACAAAATTGGGAAGTCCTATGGGCTCAAGTGTGAGCTCTGTGAGTGTCCCCTTTCCACCAGGTTTTTCCGTGCCACGAGGTGAGGGTGAGGGGCGGTGCTGGAGGGGGGCTTCAGAAGAGGCTTTGTGGAGAGCAAGCACAGATGTGGAGGGCCAGATGTGGCACATGTCGGGTACTCCTGCATATTATTTAATACTGTAACCTAACTACTAACATTTTCAAGTTCCATCAAGGTGGGTCTAATGGTAGTGGAGGCACCTCTACTCCCGAATAACTGCAGCATAAGCTCAGAGCAGAGCTGGGCTGAATTCGGGCATGGGTGAATGACATTATGGCTGGGATGCTGCAGCACCTAGGGGTAGCATACAGTGTGCACAGATGAGACTGGCCAAGCCTTCCTGAAATTTGGTGACTAGGACAGGTGGCAGAGCTTCCATGCAGAGGGGGGACTCTGCTCTGCCACGGCATCATCTCCTCCAGCTCAGCTGGAGCTGGGCCAGGTGCTGTCATCTGCTTTATCCCTCTCCCAGGGGCAGCCACAGCTTCCCTTGTGGAGCTCCCCAGAATGCAGCCCTGGGCAGAGCAGTGGGGAACGCAGACAGCTGGGTTTACCAGCATCACACGTGCCAGGCCCTGGTGCTTAAAGCCAGGCCAAGACCCTGGCTGTGGGGCTAGGCCTTCCAGGAGGATCCAAGTCCTCCCCTTGAGAGAATGTTAGCATAGCACTGGTTGTATCTCATGTAAGGGCTGGTTTTAGTCTGGTCCCTTATAAGGATGATGTGATTAAGCTGTCTGTGTATATGTGGACTTTTCAGTCTCCTTTCCTGTAACTTTAAACCCTATTAATTTCAGCCAAACTAGGCAGAAATACAGATGTCTCAGAGGCAGTAAGATTCGCCAGTGTCGCATAGCTGGGTAGGAAGGAGAGACGATGAGCACTCGCACTCACACTCACTGAAAGGACACAGCAGGACCTTGCAGACCTATGTGGTGGTCACAAATCCACCTGGTAGCCAGCCTTCACCAGGCACACGGCTACATGGAAAGTGCTGTGCTCTCTGACCAGGTCCCTTCTCAGGATCTGGGATCACCAGGCTGCTAACCATGCAACGTCCAACAACCTCTAGCTTCCTGGAATGAGACCTCTGGGGATGGCAGGGGATAATGGAGCAGACGTGGTAGAGGCTGGGGAACAGATCTGCAGCATCTGGTCCACCTCTGAAGCAGTATCTCCCTTGGAGGATGTCTTGCTGGGGCAAGCACTCTAGGGGGGCAGGAAGATTTGGTGCAAACAGCAGCAGGGGAGGAGGAAAGACCCTGTTTGCCGGGGTTGTGTCTCCCTCCCCTGGCGCAGCAGGGGAAGGAGAGCAGGGCAGGCAAAGCAGCTGTGTGGGCCTCTCTGAGCTGCAGGTCAGCACGAAGCCTCTTACCAAGCAAATGTACGAAAGCCTGCAGCACTGCTACAGCAAGGAAGCAGTTAAGGTTGGACATGATTACCTTGTAATCTCCGTGCCTCCAGGGATCTCTAAGTAGCTGAAGTTTCAACACTTTGCATTATAAAATGTAATGATGAGCACAAGACCTTTTTTCCCCCCTTTTCTTTGGCTGCTCAGGTATTGGGTTGATTGTCTCTGTAGGGTGATGTGAATGACACCCTGGATGTACCCAGTTTCAATCTGTTGTCCATAAAACAGAGCTCATTACCATCAGTTCAGATGTAGATGCTCATCAAAACCTTGGTGGGAGGGGTTCTGCCCAAGCATCAGTGGCATGGAGGGCCTGACTAGGAACCAAGGTGTGCATTGTGGTTCGAGCATGCCTTGGAAAGTCTCTGTTAGTCGGTTTTGTTGGTAGTTCTGCAAAGAAAGCGTAATTTTGGCTTACATTTGAAAGTGCCCTTTCTCTTGTTTGTTTCTCTTTATGGCACTCGTTTCAGGACTACAGTCCATCCCTACAGAAGGGCACCTTTTTAGATACCTGTGAATAACTGCCATGCCCCAGGAAAGACCATGAGACTTGCTGTTAACCCTGACAGTGCCTTGCTGAGAGCAGTCCTCGAGGCAGGGCAGCAAGGTGTATTGTACCGGCATGGGACCTTCCACCTTGCAATCACCATATGTACAGTTAATTTTAAACCCATCCTGGACTTAACCAGGCCTGCCTGCTGCCTTCAGGGTGCTGCAGGTAGAAGAAATATTGGGGGAAGATGGATCATGGGCAGGTAGGCTTGTGGGGAACCCCATCACAAGCTGCAGCACCCTGTAAGCAGATGGTGGATGTGCTCTTCTGAGCAAAGGACCATCCTGCAGGGGAGGAACGGGCGTCCTCAGATGACTGCCATGAAGGCTAGGAGAAGCAAGGAGCTGGTGCTCCCAAGCTGCAGCTTGTCTCTGATGGAGCCTATCCTTTCCTTTCCAGTGGCAAAATGCGAGTACTTCAACGCGGGAGGCAGTGTGAAGGACCGCATCGGCCTGAGGATGGTGGAAGATGCAGAGAGAGCTGGGATTATAAAACCAGGGGACACGCTGATTGAACCCACTTCAGGAAACACAGGTGGGAAGGGTAGAGATGCTCCCTCTGCCAGGGTACCAGGCAGGCTGGCATTTTTGAGGGGCTGCAGAAGGGGCAGGGATTCAAGGAGCTCTTGCACTTGCAATTACAAAGCCATCAGTGCAAGTATCCATGTCCCTTTGCTGCTCCCTGCACCAACGGGGGTGAGGGGACCTGTGCACCCCAGGGCTGTTCCTCCCACAGCTGGTGCCGGCTTCCTGCCCACCCTTACAGCCTCTCTCAGGGACTCGCTGCTCCGGCATCACCTTCCCCCCTCTAGCTGGAGAGCAGCTGGCTCTATCCATCACCCCCAGTGAAATTGGAGCAGATTCCCTTCGCCTGCTCGCCACGGGGTGGCCTGTGCCACTTCGAGTGTGTCCTCTCGACTGAGAACATTTGAGGGAGAGGAAAAGGCACTCCTGAAGCCAAATCACCTCTCTGCTGTGTTTTGGAAGACAAAGGAAGAGACTTGAGCCTTGGCGAGGGCACATCCTGAGAGGCTCATGAAGGATCCTCTCACCTGTAGCTTTTCGGTGAAAATTTCTAGGTTATGTTTACCAGCAGGAGAGAGGAGCATAGGAAGCCATGTGTGTTGGTCAGCTTTGGCAAATGCTGTTGTCCTTTCCTCCCCACCACCTAGGAATCGGCCTGGCTCTGGTTGCTGCAGTGAAAGGTTACCGCTGCATCATTGTCTTGCCGGAGAACATGAGCATGGAAAAGGTCAGAGCTCTGCAGGGTGTTACCCCGCAGCCCGGGAACATCTCCTCCCCTGTCTCCCTCTGCTTCTCCCTTTCTAGAGACCGAGTGTCCTCTCCTTTAAAGGGTAACAAGCCTCACCGCACATGCTGATGTAGCTTTGTAGTTATTCAGAAGATTTCCTCTGGATGAAACAAAAAAAAGCACACTGTGATGGCTTGGCTGATTATCCAGTGTCAGCAGTGTGGCTGGGGTCACACATCTGGCTGCAGAGAAATGGAGCAGTAGCTGCTGTGTGAGAGGGCAAGGGCTGGATGAAGTGGAGGAGAGGCAGGCGTCGGGGCTCAGCTGCTGGTCCTGCTGACTTCCCCTCTGGCATCTGATGTGTCACTTGATGTCTTCGTGTCTCTAAGATTTTCTTTAACCCAGAGACACTCATGGCTGGCTGAGCTGATGCTCAGGTGAAACTGCCATCTTGGACACGTCAGAAACCTCTGCCTTGGAGAGCCAGGAGTCTCACAAACTGCTCAGCTGAACTCACGCCAGTAAAGCCAGACCTGGACCCTGACTTGGCTCTAAACTGAGTCCTTCTCCAAAGCGCCATCCTCATTTCAACCTAAATCTCACTTAAGCTCAGTCTGGATCAGATACCACCTTCAGTTGCCACAGGCTTAATCTCCAGGGGCCCCAACACCCACCCACCCTTCTCTTTTGATCCCCTCTCTCCCTGACAGCCACATCTCTCTGTGAATTAATACCCTAGGGCTGATTTGTGGTTGTTCCTTCCCCATACTAGGTGAGGGGAGAGAAGGGACCTGGGGTAAAGACAGCTTTAAGACCTTCTCCTTGCATGCAGGGACTCAGACCCCAGCACAGAGGAGATGTTGCCCCTTCCCCAGTGCCCTCTGCCCCTTTTCCCAGGTACCAAGGAGAACATAGCGTTACCCACCTCTGCTGTGTACTCAGTCTGCCCTCCGAGTAGGACAGGGCACAAAGCCAGGCTTGAATCTATGTGCCAGCTTCAGGCAGGAGGCCCCGGGTGCCAGGAGGGTGTCAGAGATAGCATAACCCAGAATCAGACATTGTATCTCCAAATGTTAAATATCTTCCACACGCAAAACTCCTCTGGCATCTGGCACTGCCATAAGCCTGCAGGTTCAGATTACCAACGCTGCATGGGATCAGTTGCACTACATCTACTCTCGTCCCTCCCAAAGGTCGATATTCTGAAAGCGCTGGGTGTTGAAATTGTGAGGACCCCGTGCACCCGTTTTGATGCCCCGGAGTCTAACATTCGTGTTGCCTGGAAGCTGAAAAGTGAAATCCCAAACTCTCACATCCTGGACCAGGTAAATGCTGTTCCTCCACTATGTCTCTTTCTAAACATGGTTTATAGCGTGTGCTCCAAGTGTGCTGGTATTTGAGGGCTTCACTCAAACTGGCAACGGAGGCAGATTTCGTCAGTGTTTTATGGCGTTTGAAACTTAATCGCTTCTCTGTAAAGCGCAGGGTGGCAGAAACAAAACAAGGGACACTTCCAAACCTGCAATACTTCTGCCAAAGCCTGGATGTGGGCGAGGCTGGGTTTTCTTGCATGCTTCAGAGTTCTCAAATTGCTTCAGATTTAACTTTGATCTGAAAAAAAAAATCCCTTTTTATACCTGGCTAGCAGCCTCTCCTCTGCCTCAAAAATAAGCCTCGTGCTGTAAAGAGCAAACACCAATGATTCACACCAGTAGTTCCTGCAGCACTGAGTCTCATACAGGAGGGCACTTCTCTCTCTGGTCTGTCCTCGCTGCAGGAAGGCATCCCTACAGTGAGTAGGGAGCCCCTATAATGCAGAAAAGTCAGGGAAGCTCCTTTCTTTTAAGAAAAAGGGAGCTCAATGTCTGAATATGCATTTCAGAAGCAGCATAGTCTGTGGTCATGAACATGGGGCTGCACACATCTGAAATTTATATATATGTATATATATATATAAAAAATATTTTAAAAAAATTTTCTAACATGGCTTTTGAGAAGAGATCTGTTTTGTTTTGTTTTATGAGTTTTTTAGGAGTATTGTGGGTCCATGTTTTCAGCTTTTTCAAGGCAGCAGAAATGTCTAAAAGGCTTCTGTCTAAGCAATAGCTAAAATACTGATAAGCTCCCTTCCCTACGGCAGCTAGGGCTTTAACAAAACCACCAGATCCCACAAAAGCTGGCAATGCAGCTTATGGGACAGCTGCACCATCCCCACACCGAATGGGCACCCAGTGCCAGAAAGGGGGTGTTTGTGGGCACATTTATTCTTCCAGTGTGGACAAATCCCAAGTGTCCTTGGAAATCAATCCCAAAGTGACAACCAGGAGCAATACCTGTGACCTGGCCTGGCTGTGTTGCTGTCCACCCCTCGCCAGGGAGAGGCGGGGAGCAGTTGCATGCTTTGGGTAAAGCTCATCAGGAGGTTTGTTAGTTTGGTATTTGACCTATGCTTCACACAGTAACTCCTGCTGTTCTCTGTTGAAATAAACAGTACCGAAATCCAAGCAACCCCCTGGCTCATTACGACACCACAGCTGAGGAGATCCTGGAGCAGTGTGAAGGTACCATCTGCACTGGTGTTTCTATGTGCTGAGGATGTGCAAAGGGCTATAACCCTCTCTGAGATGCTTATTTTACATAATTTATTTACTTAAATGTCTAGAAATGGCCAAAAGGGCCTTTGTAGGTGAAGGCACCCTTCATAATACTGATGCACAGAGAGTAGCAACTTCTCATAAGCCCCTCCAGCTACACCTGAGCCTGCGAGGCTTCCCTGCTATGGCCTCCCATTTCAAAAGCCTGAGGGAGGAGATCGGAGGCTTAACAAATTCAGTTTCTACCCAAGGAGGAAGAACCCATCTCCTGGTGGCCACAAGATCCAGCTCTGTGACCTGTCAGCTGGGATCACACGATGGCCTCACTGGGGAATATAAGTCCATCAAGGGCATGGCAGGCTGCATCTGATCCAGCACACTCATTTGCAAATCAAAACAGTAATGTTTTGAGGTAGCAGCTGGGGGAGGATGAAGGACTATCCTATCCATGTCTGTGCAGATAGAAGTGAAAATCATTGCCAGTACTGGGAGTGCTGCGAAATGTAAACAGGACTCAAGGGTTTTAAGAAGACAGCAGTTATCATTACAGTAAAGCTGGCAGAAACAAGAGAGTCCCATCCTTCCCTCCACTACAACATTGATATTTGCTCCTACTGGCTGCCAGCAGTGAATTACAAGTCCCCTTTCCTCTGTGCAGTTGCAGTATAAGGCTCTGAAAGCCTGATTAGGGTTCCGCTCCCACCAGTCCTAAATCAGTGTAATTTCAGAGATGCCAGTGGGGTTACATCTAAGTGACGTGTCAGAACAGAGCTCTGCTATCCCTTCACTGTGAATGCTAACACTAGCTGAAAAGTTGTGCCTGTTATTGATCTGTGCCACTTTTCAAGTGTGTGATTTGCTTTGATATGGTGTGGTTTGGGAGGGCTGGAAGTGCTGAGATCCTCCCTCCCACTTAAGCCATTAGGTGCCACAGACACTGAAATCATGGATGCGAATGGGAGATCTGGGGGTCACCTTCAACCCCTCTGTGCTGAAGCAGGATCAACTGTGCTCAGATCTCGCAAGCTCATCTGAGCTTCTCCACAGGGCCATGCTTTAGCAGCTAACATGCCCTCTGCCTATCCTTACTGCACACAAGGTTGTAGCAGCTGAGGGACATGGGCTCTGCCTCAGCACAGGGCCCTGAGTAAAGGAGAGACCATGCTGAAGGCCATACTGAGTCTCTGCAAGCCCCTCTCATCTCTGACCTGCAGGCAAGGTCCACATGGTGGTGATTGGATCTGGAACAGGAGGCACCATCACCGGCATCGCTAGGAAGCTGAAGGAGAAGTGCCCAGAGTGCAAGGTAAGCTGTGAGGCAGGGCTGCTCGCTGGGAACCATGCCCCCTCCAGGTTTTCCTGCCTGTGCTTTTGATCAAGCCTAACCTCACCCTTGCCTGAGCCAGCAGCTGTTGTCTCCACCTATTTGATTTTTCACAGTGAGCTTGCCTTTTGTTGGAAACAATTTGGTGTTCAGCTCAGCTTGAGCTAGCAGCATCCAAGTGCCTTAGAAGTCAAAGGCTCCACAGTCCCCATACTTTGCAGGACACAGCCAGAGGTTCCCCACAGAAGT